CTAGCTGAAAAAAGATGTTTGTTGCAACGAGGACAGGGAGTGGCAAATCATGAAAATTGTGCAACTCCTGAATGATCACTCGAGTAGAGTTTCTGAGACAGTTTTATTACTTTGTTAAAACATGGTCGGCATAAATATTTGTTACTTTGCTGACGAAGTATGCAACAAACAGCCTGCAAAGCTGGCATTAAAAATTATGGAATACTGGGTGCTGTTTTTTTTCGGATTGTCAACACCCTACATGCACAGTTGCTAGAAAAATAACCATGCTACACGTCACCATTTCTGACATTTTTTTTCTTTAGCTTACCGCGCTATGTTACACAGCGTCAGATTGGGAGCATCCAATCAAACTTGGCCATTTGATTAAAATACGCGTTTACCCAGGCTGATCTTGCACGGGTTTGTAGAGTCAGCAATGAGTCAGAACCAACAAACCATGCGATTTGGACAATGTTGAACACTGTGATGTATGTCCCTCTAAGTTTTTAACATTGTTGTGAATTTTTCTTCAATTTTTTTGTTAAATGTGACCAGGTGGACCTAATTTCTTATTGGCTACAAATCAATGTGTTTGAGAGAAAAAATATGCAAATTTATTTTTTGAAAGGTGACGAAAGTTTACTTTAGCATTCAAAAGGTCAAAGGTTATCTTTCTAATTGCAGGAGACACAAATTGACAAACTCATGTAAGTTATGTGCTCAAATTACACCACAGGAAGAAGATCTTAGGTGAGTACTTTATATATGTACCATGTCTACTTTTTCTGTAAATCCCGATGAAGAATTGTAATCACTGCTGACGATGTTACGGTATAATTGTTTCAATACGTAATCATCAATAAAAAATAAATTTCCTATATTCTAAATGAGTCTGCAACAAACATAGTTGTCACTTTGAATGTCTTTACTTGTCCACCAATCTACATCATTTTGACACTCTTACAGAAGTGATTTATCGCTAGAAGTGCTTTATTGCTTACAAAATGAATCAATATTGCCTGTGATGTTCACAAATGTTCAGCAATCTTAAAACATGGCTGTGCGGTTCAAGAATCCACCTGCAAGGTCAAACTATATTCTTTGAGGTGATATGTCATTGACCGCGTACAACTCTAAGTGTTGTACTTATCAATAAGGTCACTTTGAATTACATGCTGGATTGAATACGTGTTGTATCATACACTTCAGTGATCACAATCTCCTTTAGATGCAGATATGTATACTGTCAAATGTTTCAATTTCACGACAGACAAATCATGAATTTTGTCACACTAAAAATTTGTTTACTATACTACGACATGGCCACATAATTATACTTCATAATGTCATGAAATTATCAAATTAAATGATTTATATCTAGTGATAAATGAAAATTAATTTTCTAATGAAAGACATTTGCTGCAAGATTTCATGTGTTTTAATAAGGTTTCATAAGATAAATAATAATAATAACTTTACTGCATTCTTGGAAATACAATGTTTCAATCAGTTAATAGTAAAAAAAAATATAAGTGAAGAAAAAACAACTACAAAAGAATAAGATAATTTAAAACATCAAGGATGCAACTTTGATATTTATGGGTAGTGATATGTAACGACAATCTCACAAATTTCACCCTTTTAAGGTTTAATTGCAAGTTAAGACCGCCTTCAAAAATCTTAAACATGCACACCATACACACAGATAATCCTGGACACTAGTAAAACAGTTTAGGATGATGCTAACCAATTTTGTGACAGTCTTCCCCAGTTGCTCATTAGTATGCCTAGAAATGTCAGTTTGTCTTGCAATTTTTATGACTTTGTATTGAGACACCAGTTGCTTACCCTTGTCTTATAAATCCATGGTTTTATATGTCTTATGAATTTTGCATAAACTGGAAATCTAAACTTGCTACAATCTC